ATGGCGCCCACGAGGAAGGATGAGAAAGACAAACAAGTAAAACCAAAGATTCTTGCCAGAACTGCTGGCCCAGCGAGTCCTGCCCCTAGACAGGACAAAACTACGGAGCTACAAAAGATGCTGACAGAAGCATTGTGACCCCTGCTAGAACAAGTGACGGCACTACATAGCAAATTCGATGCACAGCAATTGCAATTGACTGAAATAGCCAAAAAAAGCATAAAACTGAACAAGAAGTAAAAGAAGTAGATACCAACACTAAAAAGCTTAAAAAACAGCTGCAGGTGATGGGAAAAAAGAGATTGATGGAGGAGTCTCAACTGTTACAGCTACAAATGGAGAGAGCAAGCTATATTTTAAGATTTCAAGGTGTTCCTGAAGAAAAATCTGAGAATCTGAAGCAGATTATGTGTGATGCATTAGGACCTATGTCAGATATAAAAACGGATACATTACAAAGCGAAATAGATATGCTCTATAGATCGTATCCAGAATTTACAAGAAAAAATAATCTGCCTGGGGAAGTGATTATAAGATTCTCTAGAAGGCAAGTGAGAGATCAGATTCTTAAAGCAACAAATGGATCTACCTTGAAGATCAAAGACAAAGAAATAAAAGTACTAAAGGACATCTTGTTTGAAATAAGAAGGAAGAGGAGGAAATACAGAGACTTGGTGATATTTTTACAAAAGAAAAACATCCCGTACAGATGGTTAGTTCCCAAAGGCACAATCTTCAAATTTATGGACAATAAAGAAAAAATTGACTCTGCTGAAAAGGCACATGAATTTCTGCGTCAACATAGTTGTCCATCAGGAGAGGTTGAAGCTGAGAAAGAGGACAGCACCAAAGATAGCGAAGAAGAAGGCGCAGCGTCATCTTCAGACGAGGACTCAGGGTGGTGAAAACCAGTGAGGATTGTGAGGCACTCCAAATGGATCTGTCAAAGATGGGCGAGTGGGCGTCAACATGGCAAATGGGGTTAAATATGGCCAAGTGCAAGGTGATGCACATTGGAGCCAAAAATCCTAAATATAAATACACATTGATGGGGTCTGAACTGGCAGAGACTGATCAAGAGAGAGATCTTGGAGTTGTAGTAGATAACTCACTGAAAATGTCGAGACAGTGTGTGACTGCAATAAAGAAGGCCAATGCTATGCTGGGGATTATTAGGAAGGGTATTGTAAACAGATCAGCCAATATCATAATGCCGCTATATAAATCAATGGTGTGACCTCATCTGGAATACTGTGTGCAATTCTGGTCACCACACCTTAAAAAGGATATTATAGCTTTGGAAAAAGTGCAGAAAAGGGCAACTCGAATGATAAAAGAGTTGGAACACTTTCCCTATGAGGAAAGGTTAAGACGCTTAGGGCTTTTTAGCTTGGAGAAACAACGACTGAGGGGTGACATGATTGAGGTTTATAAGATTATGCATGGGAAAGAGCAGGTGGAGAAAGAGGTACTTTTCTCCCTCTCTCACAATACAAGAACTCGTGGGCACTCCATGAAATTGCTGAGTGGTCGGGTTAGAACGGATAAAAGGAAGTACTTCTTCACCCAAAGAGTGATTAATACTTGGAATTCACTGCCACAGGAAGTGGTGGCGGCTACAAGCATGGACGGCTTCAAAAGGGAATTAGATAAGCATATGGAGCAGAGGTCCATCAGTGGCTATTAGCCACAAGGTATAGATAGGGGCTCTGGGGCAAGTGATGCTCTGTCATCTTGGTGCTTGGGGGGGTGGTCAACAGTGGGATGGCTTCTAATATCCTGGCCCCACTGGTGGACCTCCTGATGGCACTGGTATTTCTGGCCACTGTGTGACACAGAGTGTTGGACTAGATGGGCCTTTGGCCTGATCCAACATTGGCATCTCTTATGTTCTTATGTTCTTATGACTCAAACTCTGAATTGGGGGCAGTTGCCCCGAAGACAAGCTACCATTTGAGAAAACCAAAGTATAAAAAATAAGATGTTATCACACTCTGAAAGCTCTCAAAATATATTGTTATAAGTTTTATATTGCTTTTTAAGAAGTAAAAAGTAGAGGTGTTTAAAGTTATATTGTTAGCATAAATTGATTGCTAGATGACCACATTCAATGAAATTGAACTGAATTATGAGCTAAAAGCTAATTTTGGTAAGCAGTTTGTATGCCCACCATCTCTTGGTTGTTTTTTTACTTTCACCCATAGCATGTAGTTCCCCTCCCAATTTTCGTTGTAGTTTTATAGTTTGTGGTTTATAGAAAATGCAAATAAAAACATCCCCTACGGGGGGGGGCACAAAAAAAGAGAGGTATGAATCACTAGGCTGACAGTATGAAATACGACAAATACAAAGAAACCCCACAAAAATAGGAAGCAAAGCTCAAACTCATCTGCTTTCTGAGAGGAAGTCTAAACGTTACACAGGCAATGAAACATTGCAAGACAACACAGCCATCTAGAAGCAAGTCGGAGGCAAAGCTGCAGAAATTCTTATGACATTAATTTATTTAAAACATTTATAACATTTATTTAAAACATATGCCTCTTGTGCTCTTCATTTGTAATTCCTGAGATGGCCTACCATAGAATCATAGAATTATAGAATCGTAGAAACACAGAGTTGGAAGGGACCTCCAGGGTCATCTAGTCGAACCCCCTGCACAACGCAGGAAATTCACTAATGCCTCCCCTCCACACCTGCAGTGGCCGCTGTTCCATGGCCAGAAGATGGCAAAAAACCTCCAGGATCCCTAACCAAAGCAGGAATCAAAGTCGTCCCAGATTAATACAATAAAAACCCTCCCCAAAACATCCACACGGAGTAACACAGCAAGCAATAAAAACAGCAGCAACAAAAAGTTAAAACTGGCTGGCCGACAGAACAAACAGCAGAAAAACAGTTTTCCAGTGCAAACCTAAGCAGAGTTATACTCTTCTAAGGCTTTAACGGACTTGACATGTAACTCTGTTTAGGATCGCACCGTTAGTGTTAGAAAAGCAAAGTTAGCATAAGAATCATGTCCACGCATGCAAAACGAGATGTAGAACAAATTAAAAAGAGAAAATAGCCCAGTTTCGTGGAAGAGCCTCTTGGATTGGGGAAGTGACAGGAGGAAGGGGCTACCATTGATGGAACAGATCCGTGGGATCCAACTTCTTCCACCCACACACAACCCCCAACCCCAGCTGGGTAAAAAGGAAAGTCTTGTCTGCTAGAATAATAATAATGTTTTTAAAAGCCGTCTTCCAGCAGGGGCAGGCTGGCCCTTGAATTAGGGTTGCCAAACTCCCCGGTTTGCCAAACCCCCAACACCCACAGCCACCCATCTCTCTCCCTTTAAGTGCGTGGAACCCTTGTTTCCTCCCAAGCCCGATCGCCGCAAAAGCTTGCAGGGAAACGCCGGCTCCTGCATTTAAAAGGGAAACGCTGGCTCCTTTAAGTGCAGGGAACTGCTGTTTCTGGAGATCCAGCGC